GCAACCAACTTTTATGTTATATGGTTTAACTGTTAGACCAATAAGCTGTATCCTTCGTCAGTGACGGTAAGGGTAAGGCGTGTGATAAGGTGGCGCGGAGTACTCTTTGCGGGATTCCGTCGATGAAGGGTCTGGGGTCTTTTCGGCCTCGAAAGAATTTTCCGTTGTAATAGAGTGGGTAGATAGGTAGATTCGCTCTGCGGGAGGAGGTGGTGGAGGAGTTACAGACACCGCCATTTCACCCATCGATGGTGTAGCCTTGGAGGGAATGGGAGGGATAAAGACGACGCGGGCCATGAAATGAGCTAAAAAGAGAGCATAATGGTCCCTACAATGGTGATGATGGTGTAGCCTTCGAGGGAGTGGGAGGAATAAAGACGACCCGGGCCATGAAATGAGCCAAAACGAGGGCATGTGGTCCCTACAACCTTTTCACGCACAGGCCTTCAAGTCTTTGTAAGGAATTGCAAAATGTGGCCATTGAGTGCGTGCGTACGTAATGGAGCGTAATGAAGTGTTCGTTCGCACGTAGATTTTGGAACTTTTCCTAGAGTCGTTACCACTGCTAAGCGGGCAGTTACTGATGGAAATAATCTGGCGCCACGCCAGTAGTTATGTACGTAGGGTGGTTGCCTCCACAGCACCTTCCGATCAGCCCTGTACCTTACGCTGAGAATTGATAATACACACTCCATCCCAGAGCGGGGATGGCTTGGCTGTAGGAACATGGTATGCGACACGTTTTTCGTGAGATATTTCCATTTGTAACAGCAGATGTCCTGTCTTGTGTTGGACGGAAACATTGCAACATTGTCCCAAAACAAAATCCCACCAAAAGCACAGCTGCCGCCACGCTTAAACAAAGCGCGCAGCCACACCTTGTTCAGCTCCGGGGGTGTGGGTAAGTATTAGGTTGTCCCAGATGTTCGCGACTTTTTTTCAATCTCATATCAAACCTTTCCGCAGCTATTCCGACATCCGGTCTAAGGGAAATGTGCCAAGTGTGCGTCCCGCACTTGCTTTACTGTCCCTCGCAGTCGCTTTCTCATCCTAAGCGGTAGATGAAAGTCATCATTTTCGTCACACCTATGGATCTCCACTAAGCCACAACGTTTCTGAGTTAGGTCCTGATGCTGCCTTCAGCACGGCGTTGAAATGGCTTGATCGCTTTCGCTTAATGACTTCTACTTGGGAGACAAACCTCGTCCAGAGAGGCCATCTGCCTTGGATTTGGACCTACTGCGTTCCTTGATCAAAACCAGTTGGTACGAATCAACTCGCCATCTAGTCCTTACACTTGACTGTTCCGGAAGCACAAATGACAGAGGCACTCACTCCCTTGAGAAAGTATTGAAGTTCGGTCAAATGTTTTCTCATGAGTTGACCGTTACTCAAGGGGAAGGGCATGTGGGTACTGTCTACAACGCCTCTCCCGTTCTCGCCATAGGATTGGTTGAACAGCGTTGTAAATGGATATGGAGAAGGTGTCTCTAGGTGAATCACTCTCAGGGTTTATCACAGGGAAGTTCTTCTTCTGAACGCTGTGGTAAGAAGAGCAAGTCCTCTTGAACTTAAGTGCAAAGGGAGGATGAAAATCCATATCATTTGGTCCCACAACCCAGCAATTTTTGCCTACTGCACCACACCTAAGGGTCAAAGCCTCAAAAGTGAAACTGATCGAAATCTTGAGGCTTAGCTGGTGAATTCCACCACGGTCTTCGTGTAGCTCTTCCAAACTAGTGTCTAAGCGGCCATATTTTGATCAAAAAACCCGATTTTTCCAAAGCACCACCAAAGTGACCCGGCTGCCTTTCTCGACACGGAACTAAAAAGCTTCTGGAAACAAGGCAACCACTCTTTGCTGGGTTAGCAGCAAATTGCCGACGAAGGTAATTTATACTGTTGAGGAAAAATTGCCTCCCACTGGAACAAAGGACTCAAAAAAGTTCGAAATTGTCACGAACTTCTAGGACAACCTTATATATGCAGTTAACAAGGAAATTGCGTGTCGCCCAGGGATCCTTGCTGTGGCGATGCGCACAAGCTATAAGCGCATAGCTAATCGCGCCAATTTCATGGCTAAATCAGTTAGACACAGATAGGACTCGAGCTCGAAACTGTCACTCGAAATCCCTGAGATCGGTACAGGCGTGACCGCCATCCAACCACCAGACCTAAACTGACAGTTATCCCAAAACTGACAATATTCCACCGAGCACCAGGTCCGCGTGCCATGCTACAAACATGCACACGCCTACTCTAGCTCCTGGCATAAGGTATACTTGCTTGTGCGTTACCCACGCTGGGTCCATTCACTACCGTTCAAGACCAAAGAAGCATCAAAAAGCATGACTGGCTTGTAATTTGCTTCAGATCCTACACTCCAACGAATTCTGGGAAGATCCGGCGGCGCTGGATTTCGACTACATGAACCCGTGCAAGTCGAATATCTCGTTTGACGACAAGGTTCTTCAAAAATTGTGGATTCCGAACACGTGCTTCATTAATTCAAAAAACGCTGCTATTCACGAATCCCCATTCAAGTAAGTAGCATCAATTATTCCGTATGGTTAGAATCTAGAAAGAACGAGAGATTACATTGTTGATGGTTAGAGGTAATAGTCAAGAGATTACTGCACTATTCAAGATAGGACAAAAATGCTTCTTTTCCCTCAGAGCACCTTATACCTCAGGCTTAGGTCAGAATCATATAACCTCCAAGATCATATCGTTTCTTCGCACCGTCCTCCCATAATTCCTCAGAATGAATGGAAAGATATTTTCTGTGATTCAAAGTGCCCTAGGTGCTCTGCATCAGAATGCCCCACTTTATAGGATTAGCGCCGAATCGCTTTTAGATCCATTACGAAGCAACGTCGAAATCGCCTAAAAAATCATCATTCCAGGAACGTTTTTCTCATGGTATTCGCAAATGGCACACTGTGGACGAATTATCGGATGAAACTCACTGGTCCATGCGATATGAACCTCAAACGGTTTCCCTTCGATCAGCAGAAATGTTTTCTCACCTTCGAATCGTCAGTCAAGTCGCTTTTTGAAGTGGGCCCAGGTTCCAGGTGATCAATTTCCAGATGTTTCAGGTACAACTATAACACAGGTGAAGTGCGAATGCAATGGAATCAGCCATATCCCGTCATATTACTGAAACCAATTCAGCTCCCCGACTTTGAAATGGTCAACTTTAGTGTTATTGCGGTTGAACAGGTAACCATTCCCATCCTACTGGGATTGATTTAGGAGACGAACACTAATTTATCTATTGCGGTTAAACAGGTAACCATTCCCATCCTACTGGGATTGATTTAGGAGACGAACACTAATTTATCTATTGCGGTTAAACAGGTAACCATTCCCATCCCACTGGGATTGATTTAGGAGACGAACACTAATTTATCTATTGCGGTTAAACAGGTAACCATTCCCATCCCAC